CCTGTGTGTGGGGAATGATTCCTGTGTGTGGGGAATGATTCCCTGTGTGTGGGGAATGATTCTTGTCTGTGGGGAATGATTCCCTGTGTGTGGGGAATGATTCTTGTCTGTGGGGAATGATTCCCTGTCTGTGGAGAATGATTCCTGTCTGTGGGAATGATTCCCTGTCTGTGGGGAATGATTCTTGTCTGTGGGGAATGATTCCCTGTCTGTGGGGAATACCTGTCTGTGGGGAATGATTCCCTGTGTGTGTGGAATGATTCCCTGTCTGTGAGGAATGTCCCCTCTGTGGGCCATGGTAAATTCACTACACATACAGCTTTGCTGGGAAATTAATTTTGTCCTTACCCTGAAACAACCCCTGCTGTATTTCAAAAGGCGGGGTTAAAGACATTCCTGTCAGTGTGCAGAACAAAACTGATTTAACTGGGCTGTACCCTTTCTAGCATCACAGCTTTGCATCGATGTAATTAATGACAGTAACTAAGTCGGGGCTTTTATCCACCTTAAACAAAACCCTGGTAGTTGAGTCAAATGCCTCAGGCTCTGACGTGCTTCAAATTAAAAGCATAAAATTCTAACTCAGTAAAGGGAATATATATATATAATCATTATTTCTGCACAGTTCTTATGTTTTGAAAAGTAGCTAGCCATATTAACATAATCAACAACAATTTCTGTAGAAATTTTCATGAACACAATGAAGTAACAAAGTACTGCATAAGAAACGTTTACTTAGATCAGCTGTATTTGCCTCTAAGCCGTTGTTCTGTTTTGTAGAATGATGAAACTACACGTGTTTTCAGTGACAAAAAGGAATTGGGAACCTGTCGTTGTCTGTGAGGACGACCAAAATAATAAAACTGGGCATTCTATGACGATGGCCTAAATTCAGCTTTTATTGCTTCATTCAGAATATCACATCTTGTCTTCACATAGCTGCATTCACACACTGTTCCCGTAGAATCTTACATACTAACACCAGTCTTAGCTCTATTATCTATATTTACCACTAGCCTTCACATATGATTGGATGTTCACCTCTTACTTACATTCTTTTCCATGCTGCTAGGCTGCATGGCCTTGCTGCATCCTCCGACAGAAGCCTACTTTGCCCTGCTCTAGTCTGGAGAAACATATTAACACTATCACATTACTGCAACACATTAAAAAAAACACACACAAAAAAAATCTTCTTCAGGCCTTTCTGGAGCCATTAGATACCAGTGGCAGCATCCGCACTAGATTTCCTCAGCGCACACTGCATCCAGAAAGGTCTTTAGACATTTTTAAAACACTATTTTTATTTAACTATTTTACAAGTTCGAATCAAACCTTTTTGAAGTTTTGCTGTATATGAAAAATGACAGATGAAAGCGCATCATTACTGACCGTAATGTCCTTGCAGCTTTAACGGGCACTTTGGAGGTCAGAGTATCTTTGGAGAGGGATGAATATGAGGAATTCAGAAATATTCCAGCAGTAAGATTAGAGATTTGGTGTTTATGGAATCTGGCTTTGTTTTTATGAAGTTTCACAAGAGAAAAAAAAAAAAAAAAAAAAAAAGTAAGTCTAACATCTCAGAGAGATTCCACAAAGACAGCCAAAAGTAGCGTTTGCTGTAAATGTATCTTGCCTTTACCTGTAAGATTCTGTTCTGTAAAATTAATGTAAACCCTTCCAAAAAGTCCCCAGTTTTCTGACGCTCTCAGCTGGGAACCAAAAGGAAGTTTCTGTAGGAGAGATTTCAAATCCCATATTTGCAGCGCTAAGCACAGGTGCCTGACCTTTCTGACACCAGGTTACTCATCTTTCTTCAGTCAAGATGAGGGCTGCCTGCCAAAGTTTCTCCTCCACCCAGGTTCTCCCCACAACTGGATTTTTCACATGCACAGAGCATCAGTCCTTCACAAGCTTGCCAAGCAGGTGTATGGGACATAAATTCCAGACATGGAATACGGCATCTTTAGCAGAAGACCTCTTGCCTCTGTTGTTTTTTGTTTGGGTTTTTTTTTTTTTTCCTTTGTTCCTTTTTTTTTTATTGCAAAGGGCAAAGGTGCCTAATTACAGGAGACAGAATTGCAAATGGAGATTGGTGTTTCCCTGACCTTTACAGCAGGGCAATTAATCACCAGCAAGGGTCATCCTCTCCTTGACCCTTCTTACAGACACTCTCTCATCGCTGGACATCTCATTCTCTAGTGCCTAAAATCTCCTGAAGGAAGAGTTTTCTCCTGCCTGAAGGAGAAACACCCTGAACCCACCACTGGGCCCAAGGTCCCATCCTGGGGCAGGGCACCAGAACAGGCGGAGAGGGTAACTCCGTGTCACTTAGAGGGTTTAGCCCTCATCACATACATTTTCTAGCAATGCAGTTCTACTGAACAAAATTAACTACATGAAGTCTTAATCCAAACAGCAACGAGCCCCCTCAGCCGAGATGGACAAGCTGACAGGAGGCACTTGTTGAGGAGCACACCCAGTGTGAGCTGGGCATTGTGCCCTGTCTGGCACGGAATGCCTGGAGCCCCAGGAAAGGCAGCCAGTCACCCAGAGACCCTGCAGGACCCGACCAGCAACGAGGAAACCCCAGGTATTGATATACTGATTCAACAGAAAGAAAAACTTGGAAGATGTAGTAACAGAGACTGAGATAAAAGGTACTATGACCAGTGCTAAGTTACTACACAAGTCTGTATTATAACATACAATTGGGTCACGTGCAGTGTGGTTACGTATCTGCTCTTATCTATCTAAAGGACATCACCTCCTCAAAGCTTTCTGAATTTTGAAATATCACTAGAAATGGCTGAAGCATGCTTTAGAGAGGCAAAGTACCTCTTTTCACCTCCATCTGTCATGTGTTTGTGTTCTGTTTCAGGGAGTTAGTTGTTCTTTTTATTTCAGAGTTTATTATCCCAAAACTCCGTAACCATCACATCCTTCTTGAGCCTAACTAGCTGGATACAACACAGGAACTTTTTCCTTGCTTTCTCTTGAATCCTTGCTCCCTATCCTTTTACAATCTCTGTAGTATGTCATGTGTGATAAAAGGTAAACCTTGTTGTATAAGCAGGATTTGATCTGACTGTAGGCTGTATCATGTTTAATTATCTTAGTCCTTCACCTCTCACAGAGAGCTTTCTCTTTTTTTTCTGCACTAAAATATGAATGCTTTAATACATTAAGCTCGTAGCATAGCATCAAAGTATTATAAAGAGCAAACACATTTAATGTTGCTAAGACACTACAGCTCAGATGACTCCTTTGGAACTCTTTTTACATAATGTTGCATGAACTGTTACTTTAGTTCCCTGTGTAGTGACAAGCAGTGCGTTTTACGCCCTTTAAGCCACACAGATTCTGTGTGCATGTTTCCTCTCCCAGTAGCAGGATCTGGACAGCAAGTTCACTTCGTTCTGGTTACTGTTATTACTACATGAAACA